TTCAGGTGAGTCTCGCTGGCCCCTGGCAGCCAGATCTGAACAGGCACCCCTGGTTCCCCCTTGGTTACTGCCGAGCCTCCACCTTGTTTCACAGAGTAAGTCGGTCGCCCTTACCCCCAGCAGCAAGGTTCCGGAATAAAGAACTAAATGACTGTCTGTCCCTATTTCCTGCAGCCCTTCCTCACAGACGCTAACCAACTCTGGAAAAGGGGGAAGTGGCCTTGTTAAGGTCATGCCCCAAGGGGTTGACACAACCTGCCCCTCTCCAGTTACTCATCAGGGCCCCTCCCACTGTCCAGCTGCCTTCTGGGTCTTCCTTACAGGCTCTGCCCGCTGAGTGGCCTGGGGCTTGTCAGTGAACCTCTGTGAGCCCTGGCTTTCTGGGCAGGTTACAGGAAGGGCCAAATTCACGTGTTGAAACTCCGATGTGCATGTGTGAGTTTGTCATTAATTGTGACTGGTCACTGATAAGGTATCACTGCAGTGTTCTTCACTGTCAACTAACACTTAGTCTCTTTCCACCTAAAACGGTCTTCTTTGGTCTCTAACTCAGAGTCTTTATAGAAGCGCTTAGTTCTGCTAAGGGGACAACTGGATCCAGCAGTGGCCTTCTGCTGAATGTGCTGGTTGCACCGCCCTTCCTGCTTTCAGGGCCAAGCGAGTTCCAGCCACCAAGGTCACACACAGGCCATGAGTGAGGTCTGCTCACAGCCCAGGCAGCCCCAGGGTCACCTTGCCTGTCTTTGGTAGCCACCCCCTGGGCTGCTGACCAGCATCCTCATCCATCTCCACAGGCTGAGGGGACTCTGAATCCTTTCCTTGAGGTGCCGAGAGGGAGGTGGGGTCCTGGGGCACACTTCAGACCATCTGCTCTCGGTGCCATAGCTGCGTGGGGTGGCCACCTCACCCTGCCAGGGTTTCTGCTCGAATTTCAATCTCGTCTCATGCCCAGGCACAGGTGCTTCAGTGTGGGCTGGGGCGGGGGGGGGCTATCCCAGGGACCTGGTTCCAGCTGAGGCATCCCAAACTGGAAGGCCACTTTCTCTCCTGAGGGGCTTACCCGGGCCATTCCCTCCTCTTCCTTCAGCCCACAGGCTTTCTGTTCCAGAGCAGACCTGCACTACCTGTCCAGAACCAGGGGGCCTCACAGCTTTGCTCAAATGGCAGGAATGCAGGGAAGGACAAGGGCAAATCCAGACAACAGGGGGTATTTACAAAGTGTCCTTGTCTCCACGACATATGCCCTTCCCTCCACCTGCCCCATGGAATCAGTGAGCTCCCCTCCTTCTTCTCCCCTGCCCTGGGCTTGTCACCAATGGCAAGGTCAGCTAGACCTCTGGTCCTGGGAACCACCTGCTCTGGCCTGACCGGCTCCCACCTGTCTGCCTGTTTCTGCTGCAGGCTGGGCCCTGAATATCCACCTTTAGATGGAGGCCCAGCCCAAGAGAGACAGCACTTTACCCATGGACCCTGGATCCTTCTGGGAATCTAGGTCAGCCATCAGGACTGGAGGTCACAGCACAAGCCACAGAGTGCAGTGCCTGGCTGGATGCCTGGCACCAGGGGCCTGGCCCACCCTCCGTCAGGAGCTCTGACCCTGCCAGGCCCACAGTCCCGTTGGTTACTGCGAAGAGAGTCATGAGGTCACCTACAGTGCTTACCAGTATCCAGAGCACAGTAAGTGCTAGAAAACAGCTCTCATTGCTGCTGTGATGCTGGAAAGGGTCCCACACGGAATCCAGGAAGGTAAAGAAGTTACACTGAGCCTTTCTGCCCCAAACCTCTGGCTGACCCAGAGTTCCCTCACTCCTTCCAGGGCTTCCAGTCCTGCAGCCCTGAGGCTTCCCAACCTTTCCACCCAGGGTGAGATCTGAGGTGTTTCAAGGCCAGCAGTGGAGAAGGCAAGGGACCACACTGGCTCAGCACTACATACCGGGGTCAGCAAACATGGACTTCCTTTTCTGCAGTGCATTTCATGGTTCTGAAGCAAAACAGCCTTCTCAAGCTGTAAAGAAAGTCACTTTCATTTCACTTGAGTGTATCCTGTGTGACAAAAAGAAAATCAAACAGTTTTGTGGGCCTAGCCCCTGCCATCCCAGCACCATCACTGCCAGCGAGTGCCCTTGCAGGCCGAGCCCCAACCCTCCCTGCTTTGCTCTGGATCCCAGGCCTGCTGCCTGCTTCCTGCAGGCTCTACAGCAAACCCTTCCTGCCCCGGGGCCTCTGCATGCTCCTCCACCAGCCGGAGATGCTCTTTCCTCTTCCACCCAGGTCTTACCAATGTGACCTGCCAGGAGCACCCTCCAACCTTGGGCTGGCCAGGGTCCTACTCCACCTGCTCCCCCAGCACCTGGAATTGTGGCCCTCATACTAATCACAGTGGGTTGTTTATTACTGCTTGTCTGGGATGATTTGCCGCTGAAATTATTTTTTCTCCTTTAACCTAAAGGCTGCTAAAGTGGCTGCTACCTCTAGCTTAGCAGAGAACAAAGGTGGCGACCCACAGCTTCAGAGTTTCTAGTCCTGCCGTTAATGCTCATGGAAGAGATCTGTTTAAAAGAAAAGATTTTGGAAGGGTCAGCCTCTGGGGGATCTAAAGCAGAGCACCCTTGTTACAGCTTTGTCAGCAGCAGACCCGGAGTTGGGGCTGAGCGTGAGCAGCGGCCAGGCAAAGGCCAGGACAGGGAAGAAAGGGCTGTGGGAGGTGAGCAGGCAGCGGTGTCTCACTGCCTCAGCAGGAGCAGCTGTCTCTCAGGTAAGGGGCATCCAGTAGAAGTGGGGTCTCACAACCGAGCTCAAGAGAACTGGCCATCCCATCAGTGTCAGCACCCACTGGCCTGGTGACGGCAGCATGAGGGGACCATGGAGTGCAGACACCCTCACCACTGCCGTCCCTGCACACAGCAAGTCTACTCCCCAGTGCAAGCCACTCCCTGACCAGAAGGAGGAGGAGGAAGAGACTAAGACAGGACCCAGTGGGATTAAACTTGTCATCAGCAGAGTGAGGACCCAAAACAGAAATGAATGAAGTAGCTTCTCTGCTCCCCAGTATTAAGGTCTGAAGGTCAATGATATTTGAGGGAGGTCAGGGCCAGGTGCACCTGGTTCACTGCTTCACCCTGGTGTCAGCACACACCCTTCATGGAGGGACACTGGCAGATCTCCTTCCCCCATGGAAGGCCAAGTGCAAGGGAAGATGCTGTTCCCACTGGGCCAGGGTCTGCAATTCTCTGGACAGTCAGCACTGGGGGTCTCAGAGGATCCTGGTTAGTCTAGACCTGACCATGCTAAGCAGGAAGGCTCTTGGAAAGGGGGGCATGGAAGGCTGGAGGGGCAGGAACTGCTATTGATGGGGAGGAGGGCAGAGCGAGCCAGCTGGGAGAGGGTGGCACCGTGCTGCTCACTGGGCAGGGTCTCCCGACCCTCGGCCAGGGGCGGCGTCCTCCTGTATGCAGGGTGAGGATCTCAGAGCAGCCGAGGAGCCAGTACCCCCAGGTCCTGCTTCCTTCCAGGGCCTCATGCCAGGGTTCTAGACACAGCCCTGCTTGGGCCAGGTGGCCTCAGGGCCACTTAGTGGCACAGCAAATACTCTTCATCTGGACTGAACTGCAAAGGCCCCTACTCTGTCCCCCAAGGGATAAAGCCAGACAAGGAGGGAGCCCTGCTTTTGCCTAGCCAAGAGTCCTCCCTTTCTAATTTGGGGTGACAAGCTCAGGCTCCTGATAGCCTGAGAGTGGAAAGGCAAGTGCTCTGCCAGCCCTGAGCCTCAGGCCCCCCATCTCTCGTCTCACCTGCCCTGCTCCCCGGAAACTCAAGAGTGCCTGTCACCGAGGGTTGAAAGCCTGCCAGGATCCCAGAGATGGGGCAACTAGGGGTTCCCTGCAAGGGGAGTGAAGGAGAGGGCAGCGGCAGAGCAGGAAGTGGACGAGTAAAGGCCCCTGAGATCACATGAGAAAGCGTGGCGAGCTGGTTGTTTAGCCACCCGCTTTCCAGTAGGTCAAGGGAACAAGAACTAAGACTCTAACGTCAGCCTGCTCCTCCCTCACGCAGCCCATGGGACCCTACAGGAGCACAGCTGTGGGAGCAGCGCAGAGGTGTAGGGGCGCTGCTCTGGACTGGGGCAGGGGACGGAGTGGGTATGGGAAGGGGGCACTCGACAGGGTGGCACTTGTGAATCTTGACCATTAGTGTGGGGTGTGGAGTTGGGGTGGCCAAGGCCCACTACTACCAAGGCCCTACCCACTTCAGCCCCTACACAGCACCCAGCGCTCAGGGCGGGGAAGCCGCACCCTCCTCAGCTTCGCATCAGTGCAGCAGGATGATGGCTCAGGTCCTCACAGGCTGCGTGACTGTGCCGGGGCCTGGTGCTGCAGGATCTTGGGGTGGAGGCCAAAGGAGGCTACAACCTCAGGTGACACACAAAAATCATTTATTTTTCAACAAATGTTCAAGCCTGATGACTCTGCTGGGTCCTGAGCGGGACCAGGGATGAGGGATAAGGACCCTTTGGCTGGTCAAAGGCAGAGCCGCATGCATGGCCCTGGAGCTCAGTGAGGGGGCAGGCCCCAGACTGGATAGGCAAAGGGTCAGGAACCATGGCTGAGGGTGTGAGGGGTCACACCACCTGACCCTGCTCATCGCAGGGGTCACCGACCAAGAGGCAGCTGGCATCCTCACTGCCAGGTTGGGCCACCAGTCTGGGGAAGCAGGGACAGCCTGAGAGAGGGAAGGAGGACTGTTAGTCCTCTGAGCGATAACCTTGCCCCCCTTATCTGGAGCAGCCTGGCCACAGCCTAAGGCCCACCTACATTGCCGGGCTGCCATGAGTCTTATCCAGTGCCCATGGGCCAGTCCTGCCCCAAGATCAGTTTAAGGCCTGGCGGGGCTGGGACAAGGGAGGAGATATGCAGTGGGCCTGAGGTATCTGAGACGGAGCCTCTGGACCGGAATAGCAGCCCCTAGACTCTGAGCGCCATGGAGGAGCCCATAGCACAGTCCCCTCAGCAGGGCCGCTTGCTGTCCAGAAGGGCCTTCCAGTCGTCCGCCCAGGAGAGCAGCCTGCGGCTGGCGGGCTGCAGTGGCAGGTGCCGGTCGTGGCAGGCTGTGAAGAGTATATGCTCCCAGCTGGGGCTGGGCTTCGCCCCTGCGGGTGGGAAAGCAGCACTGGGTCTAATGCAGGAGCCTGGACAGGCCGCCTGGGGCCCATACCAGAGGGTCTCCTGTCATGCAGCTCATCTCTGACCGCCTGGGGCCCCCGTGTCAGGTCCATGGTGACTGCACTGGCACTCATCTCATGGGGCTCAAGGGGTTAAATGAGGTGTCCCCAACAAGCAGTGGCACAGTGCACAGTGGGACCGGGCAGTGACTATGCCGCTCACTGTCACCACAGTCACTGTCCAAGGCCGAGCCTTGCCGACGCCTGGCCTTCCAGTCTCCATGCCTGGTGACCCTGACACTGGCCAGCGCTGGCTGTTGGCCATGGGCCCTGTGGGGCCCCTCCCCCAAACTTTAGTCCACATGTGCACACTGGCACTGCCCCTTCGGTTACAGCCTGGCCCCCAGGTCCTTCTGCACAGGCCCCTTCCCTGCTTCCCATGGCTGGAGATGGAAGTCGCAGGGGTCTCTGGGACCCTCATGATCACAGTCCCAGCTGGCACTGTACCCTGACTCTCCCTGAGAAACTGTGTGGTTTGGGAGGTCAGGTCTGGGTGCACTGTGATCCTGTCCTGTGGAAATAGGGACTAAGTATAGAGGTGGGCGTGCTTCCCAAACCAGCTCAAAAAGCCATTAGGGGGGAAATACGCTGTTATTTCCCCACTGAGGGGTCCTTTTTCTCTTATAAGATTTAACTCCAACACTGTGAATGGCTACCAGGAGGAAAGAGCCTGCCTGTGTGTGCGGCACACCAGAGTAGAGCCAGGAGATAAAGATGCTGAATGTGACTAAGGTCTGGATGTCTAAATTCAGCCATGCCTGAAGGCCTCCTGCCCCACCTTCTCAGGAAAATAAATTTCCCTCTCTTTTAAAAGAGAGTTTAAGGTTGGTTTGTTGGTTTTTTGGGAGGGGACATCCATAAGCAAAAGGGACAAATAAAGCTCCCAAACCACCTTCACTTTTCTGTTTTATACATTAGGTTCCATTCAAATTGCTTTTAGGAAAAAAGGAGGTTCTTCTGATGAAAATAAACATTTGGAAGCCAGAGTTGCATCTTCATTTAACATGGGAAGGCAAAGCTCCCTGGTGTAACGGGCTCAAGGCCACCCAATGAGTTCTGCCCAGAGCTGGGACGCCAGCTCCCAGACCACACGCTGAAAAGAACCTTGTCTTCCCAACAAGAAAGAGGTTCAGTGCCAGGCTCAAGGCTGGACGCCAGACACAGATGGTGACTAAGCGCAGGCCACTTGGGACAGGCCCAGCCCCATGCACTGTTTGTCTGAGTGGCTCCCAGCCATCCATACCTGCTCCTTACTTGCCCAGGCCTCTTGCCTGTGATGTCCGGCCGGTCGTCTATGAGAAGGTCAGCAGAGACCAAGGTCTTGTGTCTGGTCAGCACCACCTGCTCCAGAAAGTCGGGGCCGAGGTGCTTCTCAACCCAGGCGTACTGCAAAGTGAACAGGCAGAGGGGAGAAGAGAGTGCTGTCGGGACGGTGCACAGGCCGAGAGCTGCGGCATGGCCGGGCTTTCTCCAGGACCAAGGGCCAAGCGAGGGAGACTCACTTACCCTTTGGCAGCAGAGGAAATGGACAGTCAGAACAAAGGTGTGACTTGTCCAAATCACAGTCCCAGCTCCAACCCAGACTCCCCCCCCCCCCAGCTCTAATGCTACACGTGCCTGGTGGCTGCTTCCCTCCCACTGGCTCAACCTGAAAGTGCCTCACACCTGTGCACTAACAGGCTCCAGGAACACAAGAAATGGGGATGGAGATCAAAGGCGCATTGAAACAATTTGTCACTTGACACTTGAGAAAATGCTACCACGAATGGTCTGCAGGACCCCTAATTCAGCCAATCTGCCCATCCTGCCTGGGTGAGCCCTGGAGTGCTTCCCTCAGGATTCTGTGAGATAACAGAGAGCATCTCCGGCAGGTAGCGTGTGTGAGGTGCTAAGGCAGAAAGGGGCAGATGTGCCTGGGGAGCAGACAGAAAGCATTATGCCTCAGGGGATGTGGGGCGTCGGGAGCATAATGTGGGGTGTACCGCTGCCTTTAGAAATAAAGTCTCATGGCCTTGGCTTGGGGGATGGAAAAGCCAAGCATAGCAATTTGGAAATTTTGCATATCTTTGGCCACTTGGCTAGCTTCTTAGTTATGTTAAAGAGCTGTGCTGCCAGGGAGATGGGTGCCACTTTAACCCGTGATGTACCTAGGAGTTTGCAGCGCTGGCTTGAGAAGTGTGGAGGCGATGCGCTCTGTGTCACAGGACCACACCTGCTCCGACTAACGACGGCAGCCAGAGAAAGGCAGATTACCAGGAACAGGCAAATGTGGCCCAGTGTGGGAGGAGCCAGAAACAGGGTAATGAAGGAGGCAGGGGCAAGGATTTAAACTCGGCGCAGCAGCCATTCTCCCTTGGCCGTGCAGGGAATAGTAGTAAGGGAGGAGGCGTGCTGTCTGTAGCGAGGGATTTTTGCCACAGGGTTTGAAAGAGAGCAGTGAGAAGGGAGAAGCTATGTGGAGTGAGGAAGGAGTCCATGTGGCTTGGATTCTGGAGCTGCAAAGGACTTCCTTACAAGATGCTGTCCTGCTGCACCTGGATTTTACCTGGACACTCGGGACTTGGGCCTTTCCTGGACTATTATATGGAGGCTGATGACCACGTACACCAGGTACTGAAGAAGAGAGTTGCTGTGTGAGGATGGCAACTTCAGTACCTTCCAGAGGGACTGGAAAACTTTGCACAGCAGGATTAAGACCAAATAAGAACATGGGAAATTTTTGAAGCTTTTGGCTTAGAGCCTGGTGGGGAGCATGGGAAGTGCTGAGTCTTGTGGGAAAGGGGGGCTCCGAGCTGAGGTGCTCTAAGCTCTCCCAAGGTTGGAATGTTGTAAATAAAGACCTGCTCCTTCCGACTTTAATTGTCGGGTCTTACAACAAGGCACCATATGGACAGGTCTGGTCTACTTGGTAACAAGCAAGGTTGTTGGGCTGCTGCCCTATGGCTGTCCTGCATACTCCCCCTTTCTCTGCGGGGTGTGGTCTTGGTGAGGGGTGCACTCCCACTGTTACAGAAAACAACTCAATCACTTTTGGGTATACGGAGTGGAACTTTATTTTATGCACGCGGACCCAGAGGAGTCAGTCTCCAAATTCTGGGCCCCAATCAGTAGGGAACAATTGTCTATATAGGGCGAGGGGTGGTCTGCCACTTGGACCATTGCTGCTGGCAAGAAAGCAAGAAAGCGGAACTGCTGATAAGAGTTAATACGAGTTTCTTTGTTCTTACTCCTCAGTTACTTGGTTACTTGCTCTCCCTGATCCCGTTGACTCAGCTGCGAGTCCCCTCCTGGGCAGGCCATTAGCCATTACATTCATCCTATTGATTCAGCGGCTAGCGCCCCTCCTGGGCAGGCCACTATACCACCAGAGACTAAAATGGGTCCTGCCTGCTCCCTCCAGAGCCTCCTACCTCCCACCACCTCACTGCAGGGTGCCTGGGCCACCCACTGGATTCTGTGGGGCAGCCAGCATCTTGAGAGAGACTCAAGGGCAAAGACAGGAGCCCCTCCCTGCCAGAGCGTCACTGTCCCAGCCTTCCCCTGTCCTTCCAAGGTCTTAATTTCTGCCTCCAGCCATTTGCCAACAAGCACCTTCAGCAACAGACCCTGTTAGGTGTATGAATTTTAACCAGCATCAGGTTTGAGGTGGTGGAGGGACCAGACGCACTTTTTTTTAGAGCACACCCTTGTTCTGGCGCAGAGACCTCCAGAAGCTGTTAGACAACAAGCAGAGGTGGGGGTTGCCGCCCAACCAACCCCCAAAAAAAAAAACCCGGAAAACTTCTTCGAAAAGGAAACAAAGTTATTAATGCTATTCGGCCTAATGCCACCACTAAAATATCCCGCCGCCGAAACAGGAAGTCGCTAGAGCTTTCACCAGCATGTCTTTCTTTACCTGGCTGCAGATCCACTGCAAGCTTCGTATTTGGACTTTTTTGGGGCCTTTTTTTTTTTTTTTTGTATCAAGCCACAGCACGGGTGGGTGTGGCCCAGACCTCTCAGGGAGGTGCGGGAACCCGCACAAGGCCTCCCTGGGAGCCCATCTCCTCGCGTGTGAAAGGGGGTACAAGGCCACAGCTGCTAGAGATTGCCTCTTTCAGGTTGAAAGGGCACCATGCAAAGCCTCACAACAGCTGTAGAAAGTCTCCTTAATCTGAAGAGTGGGAGGGTTCAGCTGGTGAAGGCAAAGCGGGAACATCAGGTGGTGGGCGGAGCCCCTGCCATGACCTGCCAGTGCAGCAGAGCTCAGGGTGGCCCTGCCTGCTGGTCCAGCTCTAACCCCTGTCATCCCCTCCCTTTCTGTGTCCCCTTCTTTTGATTTCTGTTAGCTTCACACAGACCATTTCCTCTGTCTGGAACACTCCCTGCCACTGTTTCTTTCCCCGTGAGCACACATACCCACGTGTACCCCCTCTGCCCCAGCCCAACAAGTTCCTGATCCTTCCAGTGCTGCACTTCCTCAGCCTTCCCTAATTCACCACACTCTGTCCTTCATAGCAGTGGCTACAGGTGCAGCCATGTGCCTGGGTACTTACTTGTTTCATATCTTTCTGCCCCACTTGACTGTAAATTCCCTGAGGTCAGGGACCCTGTCTCAATGAATACTTGTTGAGTGACCACGCAAACCCAAAACAAACATATGCTAAGAATAAATGTGTCAGTGTTGGCCAGCCCTGCCCAAGGGAGAAGATGCTGATTTTGAAGGCCTCATGGCCTGGATCACAGGGTGGTCCCACACAATCTGGAGACCACCGGGCGCCCTCCTGCCTCTCGACAGCCCAGTTCTGGCTTCCCCAAATATCACTGTAAGTCCACGAGTCTGGCAGAGCCAGGCTTCACAAACTACTTGTGGAGAAGGACCAGTTGTTTTCTTTTTTCAGTTTCCAATTGACCCTGGACCAATAATTCTGCAAGATCTGAAACCCAGTCACCTGATTGGATGCTGCATCCACATCAAACAGCCAGCACAGTTCTGAGCTGCACACACCAGTTCCTGCCTTTCTTTCCTCTGGGCCAGCACTGTCTATAGACCATGAGTGGGCAGCTGTAAACAATGGGGTTTTACTTACTTAGGAAAGTGACACTGGGTTCACATCTTCCAAGGCTCACAGTGGTGAACAGATAAAGAAGCTCAGAGGTTCAGCAAGGGGCAGAGCCCTGATGAACACAGGGTCTGTGCCTGCAGGCCTTCGCCCCACACCCTGCCTCGCAGCTCCTGAACCCCTGAGCTCCCTACCTGTGCCCACCCGGGCCTCAGGTCACCCGCCAGGCTCCCCCCACTCCCCACCGTGGCCACTACCTAGGTACAGGCCAAAACCTAGTGTGGACACTTGGCCTAAAGAGGCAGCGCTGGCTTTTCTTCACTGAGTCTCCTCAGCAAGTGGCCCAGACCGTGATACGATAAAATGGTTAATAATAGTGCTCCTTCAAGGAACTGCTTTGGGGGTTAAATGTGAAGATGTACATGCAAGTCTTGGCATGGCATCTGGCACCTAGGAAGTGCTCAGTCAGGCTGGCAGGACAAAGAAATCTGGCTTTGGCCTCCCCCTCGCCCTTGTGCGGGTGCATTTGCGCTGCAGAGCCTCAGGCAAGTCTTCAAGACACCAAGACTCAGGGTCCTCACAGTGTTGTTGCAGGGTTAAGTTACATAAAATCTATGTAGGATGCATAGAGTAACACCTGGCATATAGTAAGTACTTAGTAAGTGTTATTGTTATAACTAAATTTTAATAGTCCCAAATAGTACATAAAAGCTACTCATACTAATCAGCTTGGCAAAAGCACAGGATGTAAGGTCAAAATACAAAAATCACCTGTATTTCTACACAGTTGGATATTGAAATGACACAACACCATTTACAACAGTACAAAACAGGCTGGCCGTACACTTAGAAATGGTTAAGATGGTACATTTTATGTTATGTGTATTTTGCCACAACCTTTTTTTTTTAATTTTTAATTTTTTAAATTTTTTATTGATTATGCTGTTACAGTTGTTCTATTCCCCCCTTCATTCCCCTCCACCCTACCCCCCCATCCCCACCATTACCCTCCCTTTAGTTTATGACCATGTGTCTCAAGTCCTTTAGATTCTATATTTCCCATGCTAGTCTTGCCCCCCATCTATTTTCTATCTACTGTCTATGCTACTTATTTTCTGTACCTTCTCTCCCCTTCTCCTCCTCCCACTCCCCTGTTGCTAACCCTCCTTGAGATCTTCATTTCTATGTTTCCACTCCTGATCTAGCTGTCCTTTTAGTTTGCTTTTGTTTTAGGTGTGGTTGTTAATAACTGTGAGTTTGCTGTCCTTTCACTGTTCATGTTTCTTTAACTTCTTTTTCTTAGATAAGTCCCTTTAACATTTCATATAATAAGGGCTTGGTGAT